ATGCTCCCATTCACTCCACCCACAGCACCATCATCTCTCCTCGGCGGGGATGCCTCCGCTATTTTTGACCTCTCAAACGCAGCCCACAGTCACCTCTCTGGCCCAGCCGGCCTTGATACAGGCTTCACAGGCCAGCCCAGCCGTCATGCTTTCCGGCCCGCCCCCGGGGGGCCCGGGCCTGCTTCCCCAGGCGTTTACGCTTGAAAATGCTCTGGGCAGCATGAACCTAAACGCTCAGCTGTCCAGCCCCATTGAGACCTGCCAGCAAGCCAGCCTATCTTCGGCCTATCTTATGAATCGTGGCCCACTTCTTTGCCCTGACATTGTAGCTCCTTCGTTCTACGCGCTCCACGACTTGCCGCATCCTTGTTCACCGTCAACAAATTCCACTGCCTCAACCTCCTCCATATCATCTGTCGCCTCATCAGTCGCCTCGGTCCCATCTGTATCGACTTCTCTGGCCGTCATTAAATCGACACCCTCCTCGCCCACTCCAAGTGGACAGATATTGAGCAATCTGGACGTTCAAGACGGCCTGAACAAGGAACTCGTCAAGCCAGATGCCTCTTCTGAGCTCTACCATAAACACAAACACAAAGAGCCGACGGGTAAGAACATCCCTTGCAACATGTGCGACGATGAATACAAGGAGCCCACCTACTCACCCAGAGAAAACGAGTTGGCTTGCCCTAATTGTGAAAAGACTTGCGAGCTTCAGACTGTACTCGAGCGCCAGACTGAAAGCAAAAGTCCATCTCTGGCCAGAAGTATGAGTGACCATAAAGGGAGGCCTGTTAAACCCGATCTTACAGAAGTAAAAGATAAACCGAATTTCAGTCAACACCGGCAACAACACCAACACCAACCACTTCAACAGCAAGTTGGCCTGCATCACTTGCCTTCCGCCGGACAGCGCTATTCATACCTCTACAATTATGCCCTCTACATGCCTTCACTGGCCGAGACGTCATACTGTTACCTGCCCTATCAGCCGGCCTGGTCGCCTCAACAGGGGTTTCAGCCCAGTTTCGCCTACAGAAGCCAACAACCGATGGTCGCAGCCTGCTCCTCAATTCCCACCGACCAGTCGCCAATCGGTCTTCCCTATCCCCCCTCTTATGCTCCTGGGCCCATTCACTTGCATCAGCCCCCCATTGAGCCCCACCAATCAGTTTATCCGACCGGCCAACACTTGCGCTCTCCTCATTGCCACAGCTCCGAGCAAAGCCCCAACCCAAATCAGCCCTCACACCATCTTCAAGCTCAACAACAACAACAGCAGACCTATCAGCACATGCTGCAGCAACAACAGCATCTACAGAAATCACTGCCACCGTCAATTCCGATGCTAGCACAGCAAGCACATGTTCATCAGCCTACGCTATGCCATCAGCCGAATCAGCAGACAGTTTATCCGGCCG